ATTGGAACAATGATGCTATTAATAGTAAAAATGAAAGTCTGTCCATAATGGCCACTTTATTGTTAACAGTTTGCTAAAAGTAGGTGTAGGTGACTCGAAAAGAGGAAACTTAGGACTGCTGGCTAGTAATCTGATAAAAGGGAAATTCAGAGTTCTATTTTTCCTCGACTGTGTAAGGTTCGAGTCATTTGAGAAAATCTGAATCACAATAGGTGACCTTGTAAATGTTCTGCTGAGTGGCACATGCTATATGAGACACACACATTCTGTCCTTTCTCTGCATACTTAGTAAATGAACTCTTACTGTCCAGTTCTTGGGTATGATTTATCAGCTGCTAGACAGCAGAATTATGAGGGTCTTCTCGCTTGTCTTCCTTCCCATGTATTACCTGTTTTCGCCTTTAATGCTTTTTTAAAAAAAATTTTTTTACTAATAAAGTTTTAGGTCAAAATTTTATTTCTCACCCCCCCCCAAAAAAACAGCGCTGCAATTTCATCCTAACAAGTGTATATTTTACTGCTGTGACAGTGTTTAAAATCCACTGCTCTTATAACTAAAATAGTTACTTTAATGTTGAATCGAATGGAAAAACTTCTTCCCAAGTGACCAGATGAACTTCAGAGGTTCTCTGATCCTACCAAGTAATGACTACTCAGTATTATTAGAAGTTGTGATTCTATCATTGATTACCTGGCTTCAGAGTTTAGACTGGGGGTCAGCAAACTTTTTGTGTAAAGGACTAGATAGTAAATATTTTTGATTCTGTGGGTCATATGGTTTCTGTCACAACCTGCTCAACTTTGTCTCCTTCTCATGGAAGCAGCCATAGGCCATAGGTAAAGAAAAGGGTGCACCTGTGTTCCAACCAACTTTTAGATGCAAAAACAAAAACAAACAAAAATACCCAAGCTGTGGGTGAGATTAGGTGCATAGGCCACTGTTTGCTGACAGCTGGTCTAGAACAAGAGTTTGATAAAAGCCATGTGATCAACATTTTCATCTTTAGAATCACAGAGTGGTAAAGTTAGCAATCTCATATTTTAGTTCATATGATGTCATTTACAACCCAAGCAAGAGAATAGTAATTTAAAGCTAATACCATTAAAGTTCTTTAGGTTAAAAAAAAAAAAAAAAAAAGCTTAAAGACTACACACATGCAAACAGGCTAGTGGAAAAAGAAACCTATTAATGGGAACATACAGTAAGAATTTCTCCTCCTACGTACAATATGTCATAGAGATCTTAGCTTCTCCCTTGGCTTCATCAAATCCTTTTACGGAAATGCTGCCCACATTTCTATCTGCTGTCCTAAGCCATCTCTAGAGTGACATTTCTCTATTTCAACACATACCTGGATATTTCCAGTTGGCTCCCATGCCATCATCTCTACTGCACAATATAAAAAAATATAATTTCTAAAATTAGTTCTTTCAGACCTAAGACTTTTCACCAATATTACAACTACTCTCAAGCAGAAAATGCTGGACTTAAAGGACTGTATGATCATCTTTGAGTCACTTATTTCTATCTCTGCTTCTACAGTTTGCCACTAAGTCTTCAAATTATTTTCCTCTACTGCATGTTGAAAAACCACTTCTTTTGCCCATTCCCCCTACTGAGGTTCTAGTCTCAGCCCCTATTACTTCAGCCTCATATTGCTACAGCCCCGTGCTAGCTGGCATCCGACCCACACATCTTATCTTCCTAGCTTATTCTGCACATGCTGACAGATAAAACAGTGCTTTCTTCAGGTCCTTGCTCCTACCACTTATTGAACAAGGCTGAAAATACTGATCCTGACATGTATATTCTTCTACAAAATCACCTCAGGCTCTAGCTCACATCTCTGGAGCTTGAACCTACCCAATTTCCCGTGAACACTTTTAATGTTTTTGTTTTTCTTTCTCCAAATACTGACCTTGTATAACTGATCTTATTTTCTCTCCTTCCTACTCACTCTAATGTTACGGTACAAGTCAAGTCCCAGCCCATCCTTTAGGTCTTTCTTCAGTGCTTTGGCTTCAAGTGGTTGCTTTTGCAAAGAATCAGTTTTAGTCTTTACCTCCCACTCGTTGGGTGATGTTACCAGTGATCTCATTTCCCTAATCGAATGTAAGCTCCCTGGCTTGAACATATGCATCCTTTGCTGACATCCGTGGCTTCTACAGAGTCTTCTGAATTCAGTCACAGCTGAATGAATGACTGGAACAAGAAAGTCTGAAGTAAAAGAGAGGACGGGGGTAGCTTCTCTATAATCTTTGCTGATTGATCCTAATCCTTACCATATAATAATTTTAATCATCATCAAAAAAAAAAAACCCAGCACAAGTTGGCATTTTAATCTCTGATCAGATAAGAACAAAGATGAAAATAGCAAGAATCTGACAGGTCAATCACACAGAGTTCTGAAAACAGCTAGGACCATCAAAGGAAGAAAATTCTGTCTTTTTGCCACTAGCAAAAGATATCTCTATCCTCTTAATTCTCCTTATTTCATGTTTCTGTAGGAATACAGGCTCTAAGAAAAAGCATCTTTAATCTCCCAAGGCAACAAAGAAGAAGGTTATCTTCATATGGAAGTTGAAGGGGTTCTTCTGATTGTATTTATGCAGAAATTATTTGTTAAAATGCAACTTTCTCTTCCCAGATATTCTGAGACTAGAGGAAACTGACAAGGTAGAGTTAAATACGCCAAGATGAGAAAACATTATTTAAGTACAGGCTGAGGAAGTGGCACCAGTAACAGAAAACTACGAATGGACCAGTGAGAAAGGCAGGAGAAAGTAGCCTTGAAGAAGCAAGAGGAAGCTCCCCTTTTCGTGCTGGGAGTGGGTCACAGTATTAGATACTATGAAGCAGACACCCAGGAGGAGGGATGAACAGAGGTTTTCAGATTTGGAAATGAGATGGTTGCCAGTAATCACAGAAAGAACCGTTTTTATGCAGATTATGTGTTGAAAACCAAAACACCTGTGTTAATGTTGCTTTTATGCCTACTATGACCTTTGTGCACATTCCCTGGGGCCATGATCTAACAGGAAAGGGGAAGGAATTAATGCTGAAGAAAGACTTAATATGTACAAAGCACTGTGGGGATCATTAGGTTCTCAGCCTCGGAGGGAGGAAATGAATGAACCACAGTTGCACAGTGGTTAAGGAATAATTTGGAACTGAAGTTCTTTTCACGCTTGTGCTGCTGTTACCATATCTCAGGTTTCCTCCCATGCGATTTTATAAAAATACGGCTTTCATCTGTTTTACCCAAATTTCATTTCACACTTTGATCCCTGGGCATTATCTGCGCATAGATTGTAGAATACGAAAATTGGAAAAATCCTGCAAGATCATTTGGTCCAACCCTCTTTTCATCTCTCATTTAAATTAACTGAGACCCAGGAAGGAGGAGGGATGAGCAAGCCTCACCCTGTGTTAGTGAAAAAACTAGACTAAAACTCATGTTTCCTGATTCCCAAACTCAAGCCTGTTTCGTTATAAACTCTGTGTAGGGCTGGATTTGTATGCAACCTTTTGCTTGACTCAGGAGGAATGAGGAAGGTGAACAAGAAGCTCTTTTAGCACTCAATTTCTTTCTTTTTTTTTTAAGTTTTTATTTATTCATTTGACAGACAGAGATCACAAGTAGGCAGAGAGGCAGGCAGAGAGAGAGGAAGGGAAGCAGGCTCCCGACTGAGCAGAGAGCCTGACACGGGGCTCCATCCCAGGACCCTGAGATCATGACCTGAGCCGAAGGCAGAGGCTTTAACCCACTGAGCCACCCAGGCGCCCCAGCACTCAATTTCTTGATGAATGGTTTGCAATGGGGAGAATGACTTTCAGTTCTAAATACCTAAGTCTCTCTAACAGTAACAGGAGATAATTATGTTCTCGCCATAGCTGATGGTGGAGGACAACTAAGGAAAATTAAGTATATGAAATAAAATTCTAAACATCGCTAGATTGTTAATATTCTTTATAAACTAAATTTTAGGTTTTAAATAAAGATTTCTAAAAAGATGATGATAAAAACAGAAGATGTTTACCAAAAAGAAGCTATTTTTCTCAAGTTAGAAAAGCAACTTTTTCACTGTCAAGGATCAAAATCAACAAAAACTGGAATTCTGTGATCAGACTTTTGCATCATCACCACATACATAACTACAAATGAGGGGGCAAAACAGGTTTTTATGTATTAAATTAAATACATAGCTACATTTTAAGAATATAGCAGGAACTACATGCTCAAATTCAACGTAAGTAAAAACAATCATGTTCTCTAAAGGCTGAAGTTGCTACAAGTATAAACAACATGTTCCAAAGCATGGAATGTATCATCCACAATACCTAGTAAATAACCACACTACCCAGTAAATGTTGGAAACATTTCCGTCACTCATTTCTGCAAGATTCCATGTTATCTAGTAGTGCAGACAGATTGCAGTCCACATATGGCAGTAAATTTGAGTAAATAAAACTGCCATTTAAAAATCAGTACTGAATATGAACAGGAATGGGCATAGCCATGGCAACATTAGGAATGTCGTTGCTGAGCATTTCTGGAAAGTTAACCAACCAGAGTACGCCGTATGCATACACATATAGAGTTCCTATGGGCAAGGACATATGGATCTCATTGAGTGTTAGGGTGACGAGCTAACTGCTCTGGAATGCCATGATACAAAAACTAAACAAAAAATCCCAAACAAGCTGCAGGGTACAGTACAGTCATAGCCTCCTTGAGAGTTTGCTCTGATTACCTTCTAAATACGAATGGAGGAAAAATTCAACCAAAGGAGTTACAGGTTCTGGTCAAAGAATGAAGGACACAGTTTAAAAGGATGTTTCATGTAGCCGTGTCAGGTGGACTGGGCAGAAGCGGACAGACGTCTACTGCTCTGGTCACCAAGCATGGCTTCAGAGCGACAGACTCCTCAAGCTAGTGGTTGAGTGAGTGATGACGGAGGAATGAAAAGTGAATCAAGTGTGGAACGGAGCTTCCCACCTCTTGCCTGGCGTCCAGGCCCGCAGCCTTCCTGCGCTCCGGGGCTGTCCTGTCGCACACTCCAGGGAACCAGCTGGCACCTGCGCCATTTGTGAGTCTTCCACCTGCAAGGAAAGAACGGAAGCCCCATAGAGAGGAAGCAAAAATGCCAGGCAAACCACAGAGAGATGGAAACATGACTTTGAACACGGTAAGTGGGAATTTATTTCCCAACGCTCAGTCCTATCTAAATGTAATTTAGATCTCCATTAAGACATTGTAAAAAGCAGCATTAAATATACAGGCAGTTTCTATGGCTGTGGAGACAAGAGTTCATCATTGTCAGCTTCTATAGAAATGAACTCTGTAGATGTATTTAGCCTTTTTTTAAAAAATTGAAGTATAGTTGATACTTGTCACATTTTTAAATCACATCTACTATGCAGATAGTGCTACAAGTGATGCATTCCATTTAAATAAGGTATGTTTATTTTATATTCGAGTTATAAAACTGTATTCAAGTCATGAACCTTTTGTATGGTATCTTTTGGGTAGCATCACAGGGATAACTCAGAAACTGCAATTAAAATACATTTTACAAAAACAAATCTCCCAAATAAGTAAGTCTGGGGCTGACAGTTGTCAGTCACTGTTCAGAGGAAACATGCATTTATACTGTTTGTCATGTCGGAATTAAATACAGAGAAAATAAGATGGCAAATATGCCATCGTATTCATCAGACTCATCTTATTTTGTGATCACACATTCTATCAATTAATGCCATAATACATCATCTGTCATCAGACTGTAACTATGTACTGCATCAAGTTTTAAGTAGGTGCTTTCTTTTAAATAGTTATGAGGAAAAATTTCCCTAATAATCATCAAGATGATGTTATATAGCTTGAATAACCTGAATTTTCCTCGGGGTGGCCACAAATGAATAGCACAGACAACTTACTAGCAACATTGAAGTAAAGATGTCATTTTGTGAACCGGAATGCCAGCATTTAGGAGGAACAGGTGCTCTTTGGAGCCAGGGGAGGAATGCTTAGGCTACTTCTCGACCAGGAAGAGAATCGCTTAGGTGTTTCATAATTATTAACCACCTCTCTGAATTTCTTATAGTTTACATCACCATAAGATACTTCCTCCAATCCCTGGAGCTAGTGACACAGTTTGGAAATTTACACAAGTATTTGCCTCCCTGGAGTTAATTCCAGTAGGGGGCAGCTCCCCTAAAGAGGCAAGCGATGGCACACACAGCCACAACCCATGCAAATTTCCACCGAGCCTGCGGGCCCGTCCTTGGCTTTCTTTTCTCATTGTGGGAAAGAAAATGGTCTTGGAGTATTTGCTCAGTGCATGGCTTACAATGGTTTTTCTTTAACCCCATTACCTGTAGCTTTGGCACACTGGAGGGGCCTCACAGACTTTCTCTTCATAGAGCGGGTCCGGGCAGTCTCTGCCTCCGTTGGCTGGCAGCTGAATGATGACCCGGTGCCGAGACTGCTTTCTGACTCCAGAGTCCCCTGGAATGAGGCAGCCATTTAACTGCTGTACCCTGCGCTGATAAAACAATGTCCAAATGCCAGCCCTTGTGAAGAAATTACCTTGCATCCAGCTACATGGGCTTTGACATCCTTGAATGAGGGGCTTCATCTAATCTCATCATCTCCTAAATTTCCAAATTCTCCAGACTCTTATATTGAGAACCCAACCAATTTATATTAAAAAATGTGAAGAACAGAGAAAACAGTTCCATAGTCAACTAGCCTTGCTAAAGTACAAAGTAATTGCTCTTTTGTATATTTCTTTCCCCTTGAGAATTATGACAGATCTAATTAATTTATTTTCCTCTACCTTATGCTTATTTTTATGCCATTTCACATAGTCCTGTTTACCACATGGGACTCATACAGTTGTAATGAATCTTTCTTAGGAGACTATATTCAATGTTTTAATGTGAAATTTTATTTCTTTGTTATTCACTTAATTTGAAATGCACACCTCATAAATTATTCTAGTCATTTATTATTCATGTTAAATAGCCTAAGATCTTCAATTCAGGTCACATTCTAAACATCAGGGCTGTAAGTAGTGAAACGAAAGTGGTTTCCTAGAGACAGAATTTTTACAGAAACATTCAGAGTAGCAATTACTGTAAGTAAATAACTCCAAATTATGTTAAAAAAAAAACCAATGGAAATAATTAAGATTTACCTTCAATGAAGATACCAACTTAACAGTATTACTCATCTAAAGATGTCCAAATATTTTCGTATTTGAAAGAGACAATGTAGACTTGCCAACTTTAATAAAAGATATTCTAATTTGAAATATATACCCTTTAAGGACAAAGGCACAATCACATGGCACGATTTTACTTACATTAGAATTCCCTAGAGAATTATTTTAATAGCGTTCTCATGATGCATTTACATTTTTTGCAAGATGATTAAATATTTGATATGCAGATATAAGAACAGAGAAATTTAGAAAGGTTAGCTGTCCCTAACAATGGATGTTTAATAAACAATTAAATGAGACTTTCTTAAAGTTACTGTGTTAGTAGAAAAACATGATTTGACAATCACAACTTTCTAATAAGGGACATCGTCCCTCATGAAGTCGGGGTATCCCTCAAAATGGTCTGGGCAAGTGACTCCCAGCAATGCGGACTGAAGATTTCCATCAGAGCAGGGAGAAAGAAGCAGATTAAGGATTCCTAAATGCCTGACTGTGTAGGAGAATTTCTTTCAAAACCTGAAAATAAAAGTTAATACAGATTTCTCACCCTCTACCCAGAACTACTAAGTCAGAATCTCTGGGAGCTGGATCTGGGAATCAGATTTTTACAAAGCTTGCCAGGAAACTGTGAATGAAGAGCCAGGTTTGAGAGCTACTAGAATAGATGACTTTGCGTATTTTATCCCAATTTAAGATTCTAGGGTTCACGTGTAAGTTTTTAGGATTATTCCCATCATGGTGAAAACCTCTACTACTAGTGATTATATTAACTATTTCAGTGAATAATTAGAATAGGACAGGTAAGAAAGTAGGGGGTTAGGGGCTGGAGGTAGTGAGTAGCAGAGAATTAAAGAATGTGAAAAATACTGGGGCACCTGGGTGGCTCAGTGGGTTAGGCCTCTGCCTTCAGCTCAGGTCATGATCTCAGGGTTCTGGGATCGAGCCCTGCATCGGGCTCTCTGCTCAGCGAGGAGCCTGCTTCCCCCACTCTCTCTCTGCCTGCCTCTCTGCCTACTTGTGATCTCTGTCAAGTAAATAAATAAAATCTTTAAAAAAAAAAAAAAAAGAATGTGAAAATACTGTCAAAGACTTTTTTTAAAAAATTGTAACAATAGCAGTTTGAATACCAGTTGCAACTTTTACATATTAAATATCATTTATCTAGAAAAGATCTAAGAAACACCAAAGGGACTTCTAATAAAATTGCTAAATCTGCTTCCATCCATTATGTTGTTCCAATGGCCCCTATTTTAAGGCCCAGGTGATAAATTCCTCTAATAATTTAGAGCTAGGAAAATTTTGTTTCCCTTGACAATCTGTTAAGACTCTTACAGGCTTCTATTTTTTGCTTTGTTCACCAGAATCTCAGGGCTAATTTCCTTCTGAATTGCAGGAGCTTACCTTAACTTTGACTTCACAGTGTGATTTTTCTCTTCCTGTCCCCTTTCCCCAACTCCATGTACTACCTGACTCCATTCTTCTTTTACACTTTCTACTATTTTTCTTTCTTTCTTTCTTTTTTTTTTAGCATTATGGTCTTTCATCTTTTTAAAAGAGTATACAAACTGCATATTCATTCTTATTATTTGGTTAGCATTGGGGGAAAGAAGGAGGTGGTTGTTTGTTTAATAGGGAAAGAAAGAAAGAACATGGAGGAGTGGGTCTTTGTTTCCAGGATGGTCAAGGTTCTCAGAGTGAGTAACTCACCAACCATGTTGTCTACATGCAGGTAGACAACAGACATGGAATTGAGACCCAGGGATCTGGAACCTGGAGAAGACAATGAGTTCAGCCTCAGTGGCACCTTATACACTAAAAGCTCTGCATCACTAACTGTCACAAGGGACACAGGCAGTGCTGCTCCTGTGAGAGTTAGTTCCTGTGATAGAAGCAGCAGACAGTGTTTCAATCCTACTTCATTTTTCAACCTCAAAGCAAAAATTTCACCTCAGGTACAACTCTGAAACATTCTAGTGTCTTTTCATCGCAATGTCCACGAGCTTGTATTTGATATATAAGATCACGATAACTCTTTTCACTTCCATAATTGATTCCACAGTGGCAATCCACTTATTCTTAAAAAAAGTTCAAATACCTTGACCTCGTGTGGCCCACAGAACAGTGACTGTGAGCTGATGAAAGCAGAACAATCCAAAGCTGTAACACCTACAGAGGAAGTTTAATGGGGTTACACAGGAAGTGTCATGATATCCGTGTTTCTATCCACTGGGAGGTGCGCTGACTCTCAGATCTCAGTTACGAAATTACTTGTATACTCAAAGAAACAGCACTGTGGAGCTCAGCCAGGTTAGAGAGCCCTCAGATCAGAATGCAGACAAAGGGAGAGCTATGGAACATATTTAGAAAGAAAAGTGGAAGGTTTCTCACTAATAACTTGAGCGGGCAAACCTGGAATTTTACAACCTTCATAGTTTCCTGTATACATTCGCACTCAGTTTATTGCATGTGGTTGATAGACATCCATAGTTTTCCATTTATCTTTGTGTCTTAGGACACAGAACACCAGTCACATATGGTAAGGATTTAATAAATATTTGCTGGGTGAGCAGACACATTTATTTCACTTCTCAAGTGGATTTTTAGGTAGCACCTTCTGTTTCTTTTTATCCACTTCCTTATAGTAGGAAGCACATGGGTACAAAGTCTGTGCACTGAGAATTAATAAAAAATAAGGGATTGTTTTGTTCATTGGAAATAATAAACATGGGGAAAATAAAGAAATATACCTATAGTGCTTATAGTGAAAATATCTATCTAGGATAGAAACAGAAAAAGGAGTTAGATATTCAAAAACAATTACGTGATAATGAGGCACACAGACTCAGAGGATATGCAGTCTCTCATGTAGTTATATTATAGCATCTTAGAGATTATCTTAAGATATTCAAGATAAATTTCACCAGATAATTTACTTGATGGAAGGATTTAAAGGGCAGGCAAAACCAAGATTTGTTAAGCTAGACACAGGATGGATGGCAGACTGAGCACCAGAGTGCTAGGAAATTGAAAGGGAAGTGTTTCATGCAAGAAGCAAAATGTAAAGGGAGTTTTCATATCTTTGGGGGTAATTCTAGTGCCGTATTGCTTCAGGGCATCAAGGTAGACTAGACCTCTCTACGATATCCCTTCTAGCTTTCAAGTCAATAAATATATTAGAAAAAAGGAGTAGACAGAATTTGAAGAGTAAAATGTATTATTTAATCAAAAGTACTGATATTTTTAAGATTATAGTTACAAGTACTTATAGGCATAAATGTTTCCTATTTTTTAGGGAAGTCCCATATAAAAATTTATAAAAATCTGGAAAAAGGTAACAAGGGCACTGGTTTGAGGATTAAAACTACCCTCTACTCAATACTGATCCTTATCGGCATTGATTTTTCAAGACACATCTTGAGAGAGGGCTGAATGACATTTCAAATAATTCTTTTTGTTTTTCCTGGCATGCTAAGTTATTCTAGTCCATCTTCTGCAATATTACAGTGTAATCTTACCTCTTAAAGTGATTTTTAAAGGGAGAGTGGCCCCACCTTTTCTAAAGTTTAAAGCTCTAATAAGATTTAGACTTTACCTGAAGAATTAAATAAGCACCCTATCCTTGAGTTAATTTTCTTTTGCTATTATCTGTCCTTGGACATAGAACTCCATTTACTATTTTTAATTGTGTGCGGAAGTCAGTGTTATTTCAATGAAGCCTGGATTATTCCCATTTCATACCAAATAATGAAAAGAAAAAAAAAACAAAACCCCAAACCCTAACCACATGTCATTGCTTTTTTTCCCCCCTTACAACAATAGGCTAGTTTTCTATAACACCATTGTATTGTTATTATCAGTTAAAGCAGTCTACAGGCAAAAACAGAAAAGGCTTCTCTGGGTATACAATGCATCTTGGCACTATTGTCCAACAGCAAACCCCTTTCTCACTCCCTTGGCTGTATTTCCTCAATACACAATTAGAGTTATTCTTTTTAAGTCTGAGTGCCTAGGTTTAGGGTTTCTGAAAGCCTTTTGTTATGTGAGACTCAATACAAAGCTTCCAAATAGAATAAGCAGAGCTGGTCTTCTGCTCCTGCTGAGATGACCCAGGCTTAACCAAACACAGCCCTGCTCTTGGAGAGCCTGTCACAGGACAGCAGGTTTCAGAGCTGGCATTCTTGGACTCCTTGGCCACCACCACCCAGGAGCTCCAGGGGTGAGAACAGTATCCTAGTGGCACCATGCATTTTAATTCACAGAGGTTACTAAATCCTTCAAGAGACAGCCAACTAAACTCATTCTATACCTCACATGTCTGTCACTCACCACAAGAAACTAGCACCACTGCCACGACCCCCTCCTGACACCCTCACGTCTTCCATCACCATTTGGACCCACAGCACTCCCTACATGTGTAACCTGATCTTCGATTTCTCATTTCATCTCATCCTCTAATCCTCCCACCCAGACCCCCATTAGAACACATGGGAGTCTCTCATCTCCTATCTCTTCTTGGAAAGTTTCCTTTGTACTTTTTGCACATTAGAACACATGGGGGTCACTCATCTCCTATCTCTTCTTGGAAAATTTCCTTCATACTTTTTGTCAGTGAAGCTGATTCTACACATTTCCTAGACTTTTCTTCTCCTTTTATCTTTAAAAATCTCCAACTCCTCTGTCGCCAACATTCCTTCAGATACCCAACTCACAGCAGCCAGCTACCAACATTTCATTAATTAACCACTTTAGAATGTCCCTCAATGTGATCCTTTCTCTTCCTACCCCGGCCACCACTCTGCTGGCTTTGGCAACCACATGGTTATTCTAGGCAAGGTGCTGGGCTCTGAATTACTGTACCTCCTCATCTTCAATGACCTTTTCCTCTGTTTCAAATCCATTACTAGCGCTTTCTGTTCAGCCCTTGATGCTATTATCATTAGTACTTGCACACTCTCATCTTAAAACATCTTACTTTCCTGTCATTCCTCCTAACCTTCCAGTTCAACGGATTCAGTTCTCATTTTACTAAAATTCTTCAAACTCAGTTGAGACTGCCTGTCCACTGTCCTTATTACTTCTTCATTATCTATCATTCCTTTCATGACCTCACTTCCATCCCAACCCAACTGAGATTCCACTTCCATTATTACAACGGAGACTCCCTTGAGAACACCCTTGATTCCCTGCTCCTCTCTTTTTCCCTTGTACTCTCCTAGGAAAACCCCAATTCTAGTCAAAACCAATTATTTGGTTATACTTTTTCTGCACTCAGGCAGCTGAACATGGCTGGAGAAACAATGACAACTGCTCTGAGGAATCCCTTTTTAAACACATAACTAACTGGGGTCTCCATGTTGCCTAGAAATTCTGTTATTAGCTTGTCTGCTTCTGCATTCTCCAAAATGATGGCACATTTTTTCTTTTCTCAAGACCCCCTGCACCCATGCCTTGATCCTTCATACTCATTGAGAGATTAGAACAATCATTAAATGCCTGGTCTGTCTCATACCACCAGACTGTAAACTTCCTGAGAGCAAGGAACATTGATTTCCTTGTTTACTGCTATATCATTTATATTTAAAATTTAAAATATTAAACTTATTTGAGAGATCTCCACAGAAAGGAAAAAATAAATAATTGCTTAAAATAATATTCATGACATAATGACATAATGAGTATTTAAAAACAAGTATCAGTAAACATTTCAACAAATACTTAAGTAATGATCATTTTTTTCTTCATCATGATCTAAATACTTTTCTCACACTGATACACAAACTTCTAAGAAAGACTGCATTTAGACTGCTTTCACTAGAAACTGACCATATGCAGCATGAAGGTTATTTCCTACAGGAACTTAAATAAAAAGAAAATACAGGATGGATAGATAGATGGATGGATAGATAGGTCAGTCAAACAATCATCAAATCAATAACAGGCTAACCAATAAATTATATGTCAGTTGGATCATGGTTCACAAAGCATAGAGCACGGTATCATACATTATCTCATTTGTGCTACAGAACCACCATAGATGTTATAAGCAAGGCCTGGTGAGCTTAAGTATCTTGTATAAGCTCACAGGGCTGCTAAGTGGCCAAGACAGGTGTTCAAACAAGATTTGCTGATTTAAAGTTCACTCATTCCATTATACCATAAACCCACTACTTATATGTATACTCAAAAACTAAAAATTGTGTCCTGCTAGACATAAGCCCAACTTGGTCTTCTAGAACTTGTCTCTATTCTTCTTTCCAACATCACATCTTGATTTTTCTCCCTATTCTCTGGCCTCCAACGGGCTAGTTGTCTCTTTCCTCTTAAACAACATACCTTCACATGGTCACCTAAGAGTCTTCCTGATGCTTTTGATCCTCCCTTGGGATTCTTTTCTATGTTCCTGCTTTCAAAAAGATTGCTTCCACCTTCAACAGGGTTTTCCCTACTATTTTTTTCCACAGTATTTTCCCCCTTCCCTTCCTAAGAGCTCTGTTTTACAACTAAATCTTCTTATTGAATCAAGTCTTAACATTATCTGGTTTATATTGAAGAGTTTCACATTTTAGAACTCATGCTATTCTGTATTTTAAATGAAATCACAATCTCACTGAAGTCAGGGACTGTGTCTTCTCTACAGGGCCAGTAATGTACCAGTTTTATATAGGAATCAGTAAGTAAGAAATCCAGTAAGTATTTATGCATATATATACACCAATAAGTATTAATTTAATTAACATGTACATAGTATTTACAGTTTATTTCTTCATTTGCCTGCTAAATTTAATTAAAAGGCCTTATATAAGTAATCATAGTTTGTCACATAATTTTAAAAAATTATAAATGGTCAGAGAAGAGCAAATCACTTTCTTGGTACTATAAAATTCAGCAGAAATCAAAATAAAAATTATATTATTTGATTTTAAATTATAGTATTTTTATAATTAATTATATCTTTTGTTTCTTTTCCAGGCATATATCTTTTGTTTCTTCTTCCTACAGAAGAAAATTCATAGGCTACTAAACTAGTTTCTAATTCCTGGATATATCCTAATATCCCAAACTAATTTCAAACGAAGACCTAAAGAAATGAGAAAAACTTACCTGATTCCCCACTTTTGTCACTATCCTAGAATCAGTTTAATGGAATATTTTGTGTTCTTCAATTTTATTTCCTTGAAATACTTTAGAGCATTTCAAATTTTATTTTAAAATACTTTACCCAGTACAAGGAAGTATTTAATATAAGAAAAAGGTAAAGGTTTTTTCCTGCCTTTCATTTTCATTAAAAATATTGTTTGTGTTAGTTTATTAATTACATGATTATAAGTGTAACTGCACATTTTTGGAATTATTAGTAAATAATTGCCTTATACTAACATGAACATTAAGTATAAAGACATTAAGAATAAATTTTGAAAGCACATGAATTCCATGTAATCAATAACCTTTTTTACTGTAGTGATGAATAACTAATATTTACCACAGAAATGTTGACTGATAAAGTACCATTCTGTTGCTGATTATTACCCAAGCCAGATAATATCATCTGTTATTTAGTTTTTAAGCAAATAAAAGAAGAAAATGGAAAAATTGTCAGTGACACTGGTTTATGATTAAGTTTAATGCCATTAACGTTGTTTTGAAAATGTTAATGCTTAAAACTTTTTACACCAAAACTGGTTTAGGTGTCTTAAAAGACTTTTAAAATAAAAATTTTATATTCTTGCTCACTTTATGGTTTAATATTATTTGATGTTTCAAAGGTACCTAAAATTTTTTTAAAAGCGTAAAAAGAAACCCATGTTTTAACTGTATAAAATGATAATCACCCTGTAAAAACAATCCACTATTAAATTTATGATCTCATATAATATCTTAATGATTTAAATAATTTTTGGCAATTTAATATAGTGGTTAATCTAGAAGTTGATTCTTCTTTTTCTTTTTAATTATTTCATTTGCTTAGAGAGAAAGAGAGAATAAACAGCGGGAAAAGACAGAGGGGGGAGGGAGAGAGAATCTCAGACTCTGCACTGAATGTGGAACACGGATGTGGGGCTCGACCTCACAATCCTGAGATCATGACCTGAGCGGAAATCAAGAGTCAGATGCTTAACCAGCTGAGCCACCCAGGTCCCCCTAGAAGTTGATTCTTAATTAAATCTCTTTGGTAAGAGTCCAGAAGCTTAAATAAAATAAAAACACAAAATAAATTTAAGAAAAACTATCAGTATTTGCTGGGAGAGTAAAATTAAAAAAAAAAAAAATAGGAGAGAGTGTCACCCAGGACACTGAGAGAAAATTTGCTCAGGTATTCCGTAAGTCACCTGGAGGATATGGATATCTTTCTCAGCAGCAATGAGAAAGGACCTCATTCTGAGAAAAGACACTCAGTTATCAAAGTGTCTGCCATGATATTAAAGAGTCTTTGTGAGAAATAAAAACAAAACCAAACCAAACTGGGAGGAAATCCTCATCTTGCAAATGCCTCATGTCACGTTAAGTGTTAGAAGAGGTCTAATCTGGCCATTGTTCTCTTTCCTTTATTTGCAGCCTTGGGGGCTGCATAATTGAATTTTATGGTGAATCTGGGCCCCAGGCTATCTATTTGCTGCCAGTAAGAGGGCTGGAAGCCATGAGTACGGATAAGATTGCTGTAAGTTCTTTCTGAAATACATGGGGACACTACACATTCTTTTAAAATAATGTTAAAGGAAACCTTGTTAATAAAATAAAGCCTAAAATCCACTCATTTCGATCTACATCATATAGTCTTAAATCAGTTTTTGGCATAAAACTCATCTGTTTGGCTCTTGAAAGCTGGCTATTTTCTAGAAAGAAACTAGAATTTTACGGCATGCACGACAAACCAGGACTACCCAGCCCCGTGTGAGAAGCACAAACACTGCTAAGCCAGAAGAACTTGGAGGTCCTGCCTGGTGAGTGTTTTCTAGGTGAGTGATCTGCAGAACTCTGGAGCTCATACCTTCTTTACATGAGGTGGGACATGATGTCCAGTCACTATATGGCGTCACGAGACAGTCCTTCCTGCAAGGAAGGAGACAGGGCCTCACTGTTTCAGGTCGAAGGCTTTCAGGACACCTAGGAAATGCAAAGGGAAATTACTTGGCCTCTTTGGTAACCCAGAAAACCAGGTAATTTAGTATCCTTAAATTTTTCATTACTAAAATGGCTAAACAGTCATTAACCTGTATTATTTAACTTCTAGGAGCCTGTTCATTTTTTCTAAGAACTATACAACTACATTGATTCTTCCAAACTGGACCTCAATAAAGCTTCTCAAGGCAGGATGTACATAAATTTAATAATAGTAATTGTGTTACTAGAACAAAATATATTAATTATACCATAACCCCTTATAAAAATCTCTCCATTAATAAAAACATATTTTCTAACATGCTCTATAAGAAATTTATGGAAATTCAAATCACTTATTTAAGGACTAATTCTGCATCTCTGTATAAGTAAATAGGCTTCTTGCTGATTATAAGTTTCCAGGTTATTCTACAGTTTATTTGTATAAGATATGCATGGTATAACATAAAATTTGTAATGGAATATATTCAATATACAGTACATGCTCCAAGAGGATGATATTTATAGCTATATATTTTATAATAACAAAACAATAAATGTATATAGATAGAGTATTATGATAAGCAGTTCTTTGCTTTTTTCCTGGTTTCATTTAGTGTCTCTATTCTTATTTTGTCTTCCGTTGTCCCCAGTTTCTATTTATCCCAATTACGGGATCTTAAATATATTTATAAATTAAAATTATATATATTTATAAATTAAATTATTAAATAAATAAATTAAATATATTTATAAATTAAAATTATAAATATTGGGACAAAAAAAGTAAACATAGATAAAACAAAAATAGTCAACCAGTAATTCAAAGAAAAATAAAACACTGTGTTTTTGACAAATTATAGTAAAATTAATTAAATTATTTTAAAAAATACAGCAAACATTTATTAGGAACACAAGAGAAAGAAAATGAGAAAACACTGAAATGTCTTAATTTATATAAGAGTTTTCACTTTTTAAAAGATAACTTTAGGGAGCTGATGTATGAGTTTTGAGTACACTGTCTTGTTGATTGTATATTCAAGTGATTTTTTTTTTAACTTTCCCAATTCTTCTCTGTATCTTCAAGATCTAATTCTACCATTTCTAGTGGTCAAATACTGACCACTAGCATTAACACTAGAAGAGGATGTATAGTAAGGACAATAAAACATAACAGCATAATTCATATGACTAAAAGTAACTTATTGTTCTGATTCCTATGGAGTTCTCTTTTGAGGTCATATAAATCACTGGCAAAGAAGCTAAGAGGCAGCGAAGAAATAAACTAACAACCACTAGTATTACTAGTTGCTGGAATAACTTGGCAAATCAGTGAAAAATGGGATTTAAAAACACTCCTGATAGAAGTCAAATTTTCTGTAGGTCAGGATAAATTGCTTTTTAACAAATAGATTAATCAGATTTTCACAACTGAATTATGAATGGAAAAAAAAATCAACATTATTAATCTCCTTTCCATAATATCTCTTTAGCACTTTGCTGACACTTCACTTTTTATATAACTTGTATTACACTTATGTATCTACATGTTCCATCTCATACATAAATATTATGTTCTATTCAATTATACAGATACATGCTTTCCTCTTTCACTCTATACCACTAGGGTTTATTTGGAAGTATATTTGAAAAATATATTGGACTCAAGATTTCAAAAAGAAATAACCTCCCTGGTTTATGTTGAGGATAATCTTGGATTTTCCTAATTGCTGGGACAACAAAGAAATTTAGATGGGAGTCACAGAAGTTAATGAATTGTTAGAAATAAAATTATAAATATCTAGAATTATAATGTAACATGCATTAGCTAGAAAATATCGTATGGCAAAACCCCACATATAATACTGTTAATTATTCTGGAATTATGGAATTATTGATTAATAATTATTACTGGAGGCACTCCTTCTCAATGAAGCAATTTTAAAATTTTAATAATGCAAGAGCATTCATAGCAAACTCTTCAAATTTTAGCCCTTTATAAATCAATGGACTTTACAGTGTTATCATTGACAACCTCCAAAATTCCATTTTAGTTTTGAAATATCCACAGCAAGATACTTGGTTAACTGTGGAGAATAAAATTACTAACAAAAAAGCTGTTAAATGAACACACAAAGATAAATTATACAGCCTAGATTACATCCAATAAAATGAATTCAGACTTCCTTTGGTGAAGCAATTGGTTCAGTCAACATGCTTCTTTTCTCCTTTGTACTGTTTGTATTTAGTGTTTGTGGTTTAAATCAAGGAATTGATTTCCCCCCAAATCTTATTCAAGGTCAAATTAAACAGATGTGATAGGAGTTGAAGTTTGTTACTCGGAGGATAGATAAGATCAATAACATTGATTTTACCATTGCACAGTAATCTGTTTTATTAAGAGGAGTTTAAAATAATGTTTCTATTTGCATTTTTGTTTAAATGCCTGGCACTGAAAAGCATTCACTGAATTTAACCTAGCTGTTAGGGATAAGGGCAGTAACATCTTCTCCTGGATTCACAGTATTTGCTTAATTTTTCAGAACTTTAATGGCAAAGTAAATCTATTTAACTTGACAAATCTATACACGCATCCAGGTCATTGAATAAAGGCTGCAAGGGCAAAGGAAATTTTTAATGGATTATTGTGGTGGCTGGACATGGGGCTTCAGGATAGCCTTCCTATTGAATGATTTAATGACATTCATCCATCAGGCTCTTTCACACATGGGTTTATACACATGTACATCTACTGCTTAGCAAAAACAGACTGTAACTTGGGTAAGTGAAGAATATATCAACAGCGCTATTTGCAGGTGATGAACTGTAGAAGGGGAACAGAGTGAGCTCCCTTGTAGCAGCTCAGCATAATAACCTGCAATCCTGTGCCAGGTTGGTCAGGTCACAGCCCTCCGCAGGGAGTATTTCTACCTGTATGCTCGTCCCAGCAAGACCCAGAATCTTCCAGGGCCTGGCACATCTGCCCCTGCTGTTAGTGCCAGAGAATTTTAATACACTGCCCATTAACTCCCTGTGTTACATTGTTTACAACTTCACATTATATCTATTAAAATAGTGGTTTGGGGCTACCTATTAAGGATGTGGAATAGTTTCTCAATTTATTCCAGTCGTCCTGGCATGTATTTCCTAATGTTTCAGAATTTCAAATTATATAATCAAATGAAGTATGGGGGCAAAATATCCTTAATGTCTGGAACCCCGGCCACATAATAACAACTCTTAATGGGATTATTATTTATCTCCTGAAGTTTTCCACACATCAGCTACATTATTATCATTTCCCCAAAACATTAGAAAGGATCTCAAATTTTTAAGGGAAAATAATATTTTCCCAGATTTATTGAGTGCTTATATTACTATTTTTTAAATCAAATCCTTTCAATTAACTTTGAAAACTAAGGCCAGAATCGGTTAAGGAGCATGCTTAAGGTCGCACATTATACTGAAGCATCTGGCCAAGTGTTTGGAAATTTCGAGGCTGTTTTCATACCAGAGCAAAACTGACTGGTTTGACTTTCCCTGTCTCACATGGCTAAGAAGATTTGAATTCTCAAAGACTTATGCTGTCTATATCTCAAAAGATAAAAGCGCCCCCCCCTCAAAGGAATATGTTTTTGGAGATGATTTATTAATTTTCTCAAATAATTGATCAGCTCAGTTATGCTGTGACATGTTTTTGTTTCTATTTCTCACAGGGCACATATGCCAATTCTTCTGGTTCTTTGTCCTCCCCTCCAGCAAATCGTTTGCCTTGTTATTACACTATTTGTAATCGCAGTGAGAAACTGATGGTTTTTCTACTTACCATAGCACTCATCCTATCCCAAGGCTCTCTTTCAGAAGTAAATGGCTTATTCATTTAACCATTAAAAGATGTAATAAGTTTGGCTTCAGTATTTTTGATATAGTATTTTCTAGGGAAAATGAAAGGCAGATCATAGAAGGCTAGAGCCCAATTAAACCAGAGTGGCAGACTCCATAGCCTACGGGTACACAGGAGGTCACAGATGACCTGCGCTGCTAGGACGTCATCCACTGTCATTATTGATCACAGGCCCAGAGCAACCACTCCTTTCACAGCCTCACTAGCCTAATAAAAGGAGAAAGTGCTGCCGTAAAACTGAAAGTGGGCACCACACAGAAATATTTCTATGGAGTTTACAGATCCCAGGTACAAGACTCCTATGCTGTTAGAACTTTATCAGCCGCTGACATTCAAAACAAACACATCCTGCTCTTGAGGACAGGTGTGACAAGCATGAAAAGTCAAGTGAAGCCTGAGACAATCCTCTGCATGGCTGGCCACAGGATTTACCCTCGTCATTCTAAAGCCCTTACTTTTTGGGTCCTACTTGGCCCACGTTGACCCGCACACAGATGACTTTCCTTGTCTGCATGCCAACAGAGCAAGAGGCCTCTCCATTCCAAGTTGTGGTTGTGTTGAAGGACGACACTGAAGTGTCCTCGATGCACTGGCCCCAGGGACCAGTTTGCCAGTGGTATACGGTACAGGGGTGCTCGTTACAGCTGCGCACCTCTTGCAAAGCACTGCTATTTGGACAGTGAGCTCCACCTACAAAAATGAACAACAGAAGAGGATTAGCTATGGTACTGACAGGAAACTCACCATTCTCTCTTCTTTGAAATTTAGAGTAACAATGATACCTGTCATTTGTTAGCGCATACTAAGTGGCCAGCACACTGCTGGGAAGGCAAATTACATAGTCATCTAATACCACTTGGCATCCTCCGGCTTAAATTTTAAGCTATGTAATATGCATGATTTTTGTTTTGGGGGACTATGGAGGACCTCAAAGAGGCATTATGCTCCAGAGAAGCAGAAAATGAGGTACAAATGATGAAGGGAAACACGGGGGTTGAGATTCTGTAGATGGAGAAATGGAGAAAACCCATTGTGTTTTCACATGTTATCCCCCAAACTGAAAATCTTAAATACATGGTTTAAAGTACCACATATTTTAATGCATTGGGCTTTAAATGATGTGAAACGGGGGCTTAAAATCAACTGATGCTGTCTGATCTTCCACAGTGTTACTGGAAAAGCCATGTAGTAATGATAGTGTACCATGTTTCTTCAAATCTAGGATGCCATTGGCTGGAAGATATATTATCATTTTGTATGTCAAAGAAAGAGCGATGGCTACAAGTTAAATGATGCTACACTGTTTCTTGTCAACCCTAATTTTTACTGTACACTTACTGAAATAGATTTGTAGGATTCATTTACATGGTTTTTAAAAATATATCACTCAATTGCACACATACAAAGGGAAGACATTCCTAAATATCCTTTACATTCAGAGTCCAAATCTTTTTTAGATTTTATTTATTTGACAGACAAAGATTGCAAGTAGGCTAGGCAGAGAGGCAGGCAGAGAGAGAGAGGAAGAAGCAGGCTCCCTGCCAAGCAGAGAGCCCGAATCGGGGCTTGATACCAGGACCCTGGGACCGTGACCTGAGCTGAAGGCAGAGGCTTTAACCCACTGAGCCACCGAGGTGCCCCCAGAGTCCAAATCTTTTGAGTCACATTTTAACTCACACTCATCAAAGTTTGCCCTCCTATACAGAATCATCCCTGTGGTATCAAAAGTGATGATGATGCAGGATTTTTTTTTTTTTTTTTAAGAGCTTCCTACTGTCTCCAGGGCTTTCTGCCAAGGTACTGGTACTCATTTCTAAGTTTTGATGTTGGCACATTTTTAATTGTACCAGAAGATGTCAACAAAAGATTTAAGCAAGCAACTGAGGAACAGTTCTTAGCTGTTTTTGTTTATTTTGGGCAGAAATATCATGGAATCGCTATTGCCACCAGGAATAACAATAAAATTCAGGTACTAGCAAAGATAGCTATGTTTTAATTGCTGTCTGGCTGCTGTGGTTTTAAAATACAGCCATTTTAAGATGCCATAATTGCAGAGATGATAAAAGGTAAAAGGGCTGTGTCTTTTAATCAATAGAATATGGTGTGAAGTTGTCACTATGGAACCATTTTTTATGGGCTAGCTCTGTTATAAGTACTTTGTAGGGGGACCTCATTTTATACCCCAAACTGCATTACAAGTTAAAAATTATAAAGTGGATGAGCCAATACAACTTAAATGATATAATGGTAACAGGTCAGAATTTATGGAGCCCAGTTTCTTACCACTATGCTATTTATAATGCCAATTATAAAAATAAGAAGCTTTATATTGTTACAAGCAGAGTATAGGAGGAATTTATTGCTTATTTTATTGATAATTTAATCTGTTTTAACTTAAGTACCCCTTGGATTTAATCTATCTGAATTTATGTAGTCTTCTGAATTTTAGGAACAGAAAAGACTTGATTTTTGGGGCACCTGGGTGCCTCAGTCAGCTGGGCAGCAGACTCTTGATTTTGGCTCAGGTCATGATATCGGGGTCCATGATCTTGGAGCCCCGTATCAGCCTCCATGCTCAGCGGGGACTCTCTCTCTCTCTCTTTCTCTTTCCCTCTGCCCCTCCCCTTACTCTCTCTCTCTTTCTCAAATAAATACATAAAATCTGGAAAAAAAAAAAAAGAAGAAGAAGAAGAAGAAGAAGAAAATACCTGGTTGTTAAACAAGAAAAGGTGATTCAATAGCTAGTGATCCTCAGACGGAAGGGGGCCCCCAACTTTGAGATATGAGTTAAAGTCATAGACAAACTACCCCCTGAGATGGTCTTCATTTACCGTTTCACTTACTATTAATACACCCTCTAACTCAGCAAATACATCGGTAGGCAGTGTCTGTGAGAATTTAACTGCAATTCAGAATCATTTATACCGTGTTGAGCAGGGGATCAACATCAGAATAACCTGCATTAAGCAGCATTTCATTAAAGTCCCTGCTTCATGGTGGTGAAAACATCTGTCACAGATCACAGCCCGTCCTCCATCACGCAGCTCAGTGACCCTGGCAGCCTCTGAAAAGAAGTTTAGGATTTGAATAGGAATGGATTCTAAAACATACTAATTGGATCCGGGAGAAGTAAATGAGCACTCTTATAACCCATTCCCTGAGGTTCTAGATTTACCCAATCTTATCTCTAAGACAAACACCTAATTATAGGCGTGAAACGTATACACTTTAGTTAATCATTTTAACCATACCTTTATATTTATTTAATAGTGAAATTGTTGATCTTCTATGAAAAAAGCATTTATTTACCTCATTTTCACTATGGGCATATGTATGCTGTTTCAACTGTGATTCTAAACTCTTGAATTGTTTTTGACATTGGAATTGACTCCTTGGTCTACGGCCATACCACCCTGAACGCGCCCGATCTCGTCTGGAATTGACTCGTTGGTTTTAGAACATGTGATAGGAAAAAAAACTTCTACGGCATCAGCGTAGGGTGTCAAGGAACTGCAAGATGGCAGTTAAGTTTACAGACAGAAAGGCTATTTATTTTCTTGCCCCAATCCACATTAAAGCCACATCAGCAGTTTTGGTCGGATGTCAGGATACTCGTGCAGATAAGCCCCAAAGTGGCCTTAATTGTAACAACGATATGGCAATTTCAAAAGCATGGCTCGGGTAATCAGTCATTGCAGCATCGTCCTGTTGTCTGGGGAATAATTTTACGGTAGAAAAATTGATAGATATAATATTGAATTTATTTATTATTTATGGGAAGATCTAATTCCAGACACATGGGAATATTTCCATAGTACTGGGGAAATTATAAAATGTCATCTATGACAAAACTAATGATAATTGGTATTTTAAAAAAATTCTCAGACACATAAAAATATATGCTTCATACTAATGTGACTATATAGGTTTTCTATCATTCCATGAAGTGGAAAGACTTTATAATCCTTCGATGAAATTCTACTGTATATCTTAACATCTACACTTACATTAAAATACCAACTATTATAATGTGAAACTTTTCTTATAAAAATGAAAAAGTGACTTTTCCTCTCCGCATCAAGCCTATAAATGCTGTGTGAACATACATTTGAACAGAGCTGTAGTGTTTCTGGTTCCGGCATTGAAGTCCTTATAATTTAAATGAAAAGACTGAAAAGATAAAAGAACCTTGTTCAAAACATTAAGTGGAAACATGTATACTGAGTTCTATAGTATGCAATGTTTACGGCCAATATTTCAAGAGACAGATACTTACAAGGGTTAGAAATAGTTTTTGCTGTTCTCAAGGATCTTACAAAGCAGTGGGGAAAAGTAGTAGGGATGGGCAAGCATACAGATGGGTATAATTTTAGGTGGAATACAGTAATCACGTTAAAAGAGGTAGCGCCACTGAGATTCAAAAGCGTTAAGATTCTGTTCATTTTGGGGCGGCTGAAAAATGCCTCTCAGTAGAAGGTGCTGAGGTGAGTTTTGAAGGAGCGGGATTTTGACAAGTAGCGTTCTGGGAAGGGAGAGAAAGAAGGGAACATTTTCCTTAAGCAGAAGAGCTACTAAAAGCCAAGGCATGGCAGGCAGGCGTGATGCTGGGAATTAGCAATACAGATGCAGTCCACTGGAGTCCCAAGTTCACACAGAGAAACAACAGGCAATACGGGTAAAAAAGTGGACGGGGCTCGTGCTAAGAAGTGGCTATCAGTGTACTATGAATTACAGTTTTAAAATGCTTGTAATTTTGCCTGTTTATTGTAGCCCGGATCCCCCTGACAGCAGACCACCCCTGGACAAAAAAAACACACTGGCAATGGCATGATTTCGGGGAACTGAAGGGAAGAACCTTAGCCACGGAGAACCTCAGAAGATTTCGCTGTCACATGCCATCCCTACTCCCATCCTTTGTTATCCCTTGCAGAGAGAGGAAGATGATATTCCACTGTGGGGTCCACATAAATCTTGTGTGGCGGTTGTGGTCATGCAGGGACAGACTGAAACAGAACTCCGTTTTCAAAGTCAAGAATGGGAGGATGAGGAAGTGACAGTACTTTTACTTGGAAGGCAGAATTCCATGAGTCTGTACATACATAATGGATTCTGGATTCTTCAAATCTGTCCAGGAACAAAAGTAATCCTTAGGCCCTTTAGCTGTGAAAACCCAAAGTTAAAAGACCAATATTACCTCTTCAATGTTTTATATTTTAAAATATAATTTTTGAAGACTGCTAATTATGTGAGAAAAATTGGCATAATTCTATTCACCTTGCATCTATTTTCTGTATTTATAAAGCAGGTGCAAAGACACACTAAAATTTGGCTGATGAAGTTATAGTATCAGGTCATTTTGAACTTTCCAAAAAAAAAAAAATCCTCTCATTTCTTGCTCTTGTAAGGATAATTAACTATGTAATGAGAGCTAACAGAAGTTGTCATTATGCTTAGTGGAAAACATTTTGAAACTCAGTTTTTCTTTTTAAACATGGTTTCAAAAAATTCAGATGGCTATAAATCTAACATTAATTTTAAATTTCTTATTCAAATTCAACATACTACTATTTATATATTAAAAATATGTCAGGCTGAAGTGTTAAAAGATTGCTTCCTTTCATATCTTCCCAACACAATTTTTGTTCAGGGCCAGTAACATCTGCACACTTATCCCCGCACTGGGTGGTTAAGCCCGAGACACTAATGAATCATTCTATAAAACCGAGAGGAAACAAGAGGCAAGTGCAAGTCCAGGGAATAGGGTCAAGGTCGCACAGAAAGGTCACTGTTGCGAAAATGCTCCTGGCCATACACCTGAGCCACCAATTTGCGGCCAGCAAACCAGGGCCTGGATGAAGGCCTGGATGACCATGTGAGTCTCAGAGGCTATAGAAAACTCCACAAAAATCTGGACATGATCTCTGCATCCTCCTCCTCAAATATTTTTAAAGTATTTTGGGACCCACCCCATAGTTTACCCGAAACAAGGAAGATTTTTACCTTGAGTTATACAATGCCAAAAAGTGAAATACCAATTTTATTTAAACATACACGCACACTCCCCCTTTTGTTTTAAGTTTAAAAGATATATTTTTGCTTTCTTCAGCATATTTACTATCTCTGGTTGCTACCATTTGTATTTGCTTTCCAAATGACATTTGGATAAGAATCCTTTTGTGATAATTTCTGTTTGTTGCTAACAATAGGTTATAAAGTGTTCCTCAAGACTGCATGAAAAGCAATTATATTCAAGCCGTTTTTTTATTAATTTTTTATGTTTCAATTTTGAACCAAGCTTGAAATTATAGGAAAATTCAAAGTATATTATCAATAATTTTCCTCCCTGGATCATTTGGACAAAGTTGTTGAAATGATACCCCACTGCCCTAAATACTTAAATGTTTATTTCTTATAGTCAAGGGCATTTTCCTACATAAACACATTCAATATTCGAGATCAGGAAACCAGGAAACAAACATTGACACATTATTACTATCTAACCTCATACCTATTCAGATTTTCCAACTGTCTCAAAATACCCTTTTTACAGTGGAAAAATCTAGAACCAAGTTTTGCATTTAAGTATCATGTTTTGGTAATCTCCTTCAATCTGGAATAGTTCCTCAGTTTTTTCTTAATTTTCATGATTAAGTGCTCCTTGGCTCTTCAGGATATTAAAGATCAGTTATTGTTTTTCAGTGTTTTTCAATTGGGATATTTCCTCATGTTCATTGGGACATTCTACAATATGCATCTTTGACAGGGACGTCACAGACCTGATGCCATTTTATCATTGCATCACACCAGGAACACATGATTTTTCTTTGCTCCACTACCAATAATTTAAATTTTGATCCTTGGGTTAAGGTGGTGTCTGTAATACTTCTCCATTAGAGAGATACTCGAGACTAAATAAAATGCTCTTGGTTAGATGCTCAGTTAATACATTCATTTATTTATATGAAACATGGATCCATGGTTTCCTATTTCATGTAATGGGTTATGTTCTGTGATTAATATTATTTTGGCATTTACATTGTGGGCTTTGATAACCCACTCTGAACCCTGCAGACCCCCCACCTGATGAGACAGATGCTCAACCACTCGACTCCACCAAATGACTTTTTAGAGAAAATTGTTCAGGAGCAGAGAGTAAGAGCCCAGAAAGAAAGTGAAGAAGGAAAGGGAAAGGAAGAGAAAGTAGTATGGGGAAGAAGATGTATTATTCTGTATTCTATCATTCACATAGTAGGAACAAAGAAATAATTGATAAAAGTCCTAACATTTCAACAACTGGAGAAGCTTGGTTTATCTCCTGAATTGGGGGCATAGAGAATCATCCTTTATCATACATCTACAGAGACAGACATGGAGATAGATGTAGACACACACACGCAGACACACAAACCATACGAAAACTAAATATATCAGGGGTAAGACCAGGAGCTAGCACTCCTCTTCTCTAGCACACACTAGGATTACATCTCCCCCACCCTGCGCCATGACTGAAGTTAGGTTCAACTTCAAGCCATGATTGTATGATTTTGCTTGGTCAATGAAATGTCAGTAGAAACGACTTAAGTCCCTTCTGTATGGAAGAACTTAATGCTGATGCTTAGAAATCACCAGACAGACTTTCCAACTAACTTCTTCCATTGGCATTGGGGAGTAGGTCTTCATTTGGAGGTGTAAGCGGAGACTGCATTAGAAAGCCACCCAACGCCATGGCAAAGTTCCCATAAAGAAGCAATAGTTTCTCTTTTAAGTTTTTAAGCTGCTGAGCTGTTTGTTACTACAAAACAACTCAATCTGCTCTTGTTAATACAAGAGGTTATATAATATTCAGTATAATGTTCAACAGTGAAGTTATGCCTGAGATAAATAAAAGTTTATCTTTTATTTTGTGAAGCAGCATTGACTTTGTAAATCCAGATTAGTACTTTGCACATGGATTTGTAACTTATTTCACCAGAAAGTTGTATGTCTAAACACTCAATACTTAATTTTAATAATGTCACCTTTCCCCTTAAGGTTATCACAGTAATTTTCTGATTTAGAAAATTCAGAACATGTTTGACACATATAAACATTAATTCTCGGGGAATACTAGAAAGATCTACTTTGGTGTAGAATTATAAAGTGTCATCTAATTAGCAGGGGGCCACATTTTAAAACTTCCTGCAAATGAAGTTTTTGAATAATTTTAAGAAGAGCTCAAAATTACAAGACTTATTTTGTGAGCAAGAAAATGTTTCCATGTCCAGCGAATAATGGATACTAAATAGTTTTTGAAACACAGATTCCTCTTTAAATATCTCCTATAATTATACCAGTTTTTATAACTGTTATTAACAGAGACAAGCAGCAGCAGATTCTCCACTGACAGCTTCCTATATGGTTTCCGTTTAAAATTATGTTTTGCATTCATGCCTTTATGATTTACTATATAAACATCTATAATTTTCCAGCACGGCCTGCTTATGATGCAGCTACTAGACTTAATTAAAAATTATCGAAGTCTCACCCTTTCAAACTAAGTGGGTGATACACATCAAAGATCCATCATAAATTTCTGCCTTTAAAGCATTTCATGACCTTTCAGTGTGAAGCATCATGTCTAGAGAAATAATGATCTGGTGGGTTCTGAAAGCATGGCAAAAAACCTCTGCCATGTGACTCACAGGGCGAAAAGTCACTCATTACTAGTCACACAGAAAGTGTCTGCAGAGTATAATAGATTTATAGGAAGCAGGGTGACCACAGATCTAATTTTAATGAAGTCCAAGACATAATCTGAGCTGATAGAGTTTGAAGTCTGAATATAATCTATGCAAGGTTAGAGTTACTGTTTGACAAGACAAGGAATATAACTTTCTGAAATGTTCTAGTCTCTATCTGGTTCCCAGATACACTTTTTTGGGGGGTGGTACCAAATGGTTCAATTTATATTAAGGTAACCAGAAAAATAGTTTGGGACACTTTATTTTTTAATTTTTTATTTATTTTTATTTTTTTTAAAGATCTTAGTTATTTATTTGACAGACAGAGATCACAAGTAGGCAGAGAGGCAGGCAGAGAGAGAGGAAGGGAAGCAGGCTCTCTGCTGAGCAGAGAGCCCGACGCGGGGCTCGATCCCAGTACTCTGGGATCATGACCCGAGCCGAAGGCAGAGGCTTAACCCACTGAGCCACCCAGGTGCCCCTTGGGACACTTTAAAACAAAATTCTAAATTTTCCTATAGGTTGACTTATCAAATACGCTAAATTTTTCTCTCAGGTCTTAAGACTAAGGTAATTACATTTTTGCATGGCTAGTATATTCATAGATAGCACGTTTGATGAAATAAAAACACTATCAGGTTTCTACCACCAAAATGTTTCAGAAGTAGAAAAATAAAACTGGCAGCCTAAAAACTCCTCCACAATTTGTTATTTGGGGATATACACAGAGAAACACATGCAAATTACAAACAGAAATCATTACTTACTAGTGCTAACTGTGAATGAGGAGAAGAGTCATTCAGCTTGATAAGGTTTAAATAATATACACCTATATTCTTGAGACTGAACATGCCTTAATGTGATAGAACTTGATGACTTCTATGTTTTTCTTAGTCCTGTGGTATTCTCAAGAATGACAAGATTAAGTATGACATTATATCACCCAGTCACACAGAGGCCAAATTAGCATTTGGATGTAAGCTTGAGAGATAATTACCAAGAGCCTTATATTTCTCGACAATAAAGCTTACACAAGTGAGGTGTGAATAAATGACAAAGCATGCTTTATTCCCCCAACAGGATGAGGTGATTAAGGAGCAGCATATTTGAAAAATGAACACAATGTACGGATGAGACTTCTGGATCTCAGAGCCTATGTTCAAAAACCCGAGTGGCAGAGAAGCCATGTAATTTTCCTTCAAGTAATAGTCATGCTGGTGTTTCTTTAAAAACAAAACACTTCTTTATTGAACATATATGCCTGTTTATGAGAAGGCATAATGTCATCTCAAAGGGAAAAAACTGACTACTGCAATAGAGAAAAAATAATCAAACCTGACACATCTGGAGTTTGGGAAGCCATTTTCATACTTTTGCACAAGTTTAGCATTCAAACTAGAAAGCAATTATTAGGAGAGAGATAAGGCAAAGTAACTACTTTTTAAAGTCTTTCTTCTTTTATTAAAGATCTATTTTCAAGATTAATTCTGGGGAAAAGAAGTTGCTCCATAGGTCAACAGATATTAAATTTCCTTAAATTGCTGGGATTCTGGAAGTAGATTTTTGTATAGCATCACCTTAACCACAAAAGACCAAAAAAAAAAAAAAAAAAAAAAAAAGATGCCAACTTCAGAAAGGAATCTGAATCCACTTCTGAAGCTGGTGACCAGCCTTACCTTCCTCACCGGCATAGGCCAGAATGGACCGTGCCCGTATCTGCTTCCCTTCTGTAGTTTTCCCCGAGCAGGTGTGTGAGCAGGAGGACCACAAAGACCACATGCTGAGCACACAGTCCTTTGGGCACGGGGCGTAACAGGCAACAGGGATGGGGAAGATGGCATCTCTGCACAGCTGTCTGTCAACTTCTTCTCCTGGGGAAGACATCATCACAAACAATCTATCATTTTTAAATAAATGTAAAATGAGCAATTGTAACCAGATGGGCACCAAGATAAATTAGGTTATTTGGTTCTTAGTTAAAAAGAAAGCTAAAACAATGCCCACAATGGCCAGATGTTAAAAGAACACAAGGAATAAATATATACCCTTAACTGAAGCTTCTTTTATTATTAGAAGCTTAGGTGTATAGATCAAGCACAGTGCTAAAAGGATTTTTTACTACAGATAGCTGCCCAGTTAGTGACTTTTCTGTTTATAATATTAACCTTGCAATAAAGAACATCAATGAATTACATTCCCCTTTTTATTGCATTATTGGAGATGTACCATTTACATCATCATTTACAAATAACACCTCTACCCACAGCATGTACCATATATTTTCATGAACCAACTCAGGTATCTCTGCAAACTGTGTCTCCCAGAGAATTTATTTTTGTATGACTGGCAACCTTTTTTTTTCTCATAAAAATTACTGTGTTAGTTGGAAATAGCCAAGATATGTAAATAATAGGCTAAAACATAAAACTGTTTTAAGTGGTCCCATTGGAAGAGGGAGAGAAAAATGATAAGGTAAGCAAATGGCAGAAGATGGTGTCACTCCAGCACTTAAAACTCATCAGCAGTTTCCTGTTGCCCTTAAGACAGAGATGAAAGTTCTTAAATGTTTACAAGACCTATAATGACCTGGCTCCGGATTCTCTTCCCAGCTTCATCTGACCCCACTCCCTCCCTTGCCTTGTGAGCTCTAGAGACTGGCACGCCTTTAGTATTTGTTGAATGAATACAATGAGATGTACAAAAGGCCAATGAGGAAGAAAATGTCTTTGTGATTAATGAATGCCAAAGATAGCTAAAAGGATTACAAATGACCAAAATAGAATATGAAATGAATTCTACAGCGTCACTGGTTAATGTAGGGTGTTAATGACATCAGTGGAACAGAGCAAAACAATCCAAAAACAAGCAAAAGCTGATCTATTATTTTGCCAGAAAACATGACCATAATTCTGGATAAATATATCACAAATGTGTGCCTTGGGCCATTACACCTTCAGGTGAGAAGGAGTGACTAATTATGCTACTTTTCACTGCTATTAGAAAAGCAACACAGAGCTGTTTCTCACTGATGGAAGGCTAGGAGCATCGTGTTAATGTACGGTCCTTTATTCATACATTTGAAAAACAAGATAGAAAATCAGAAGTCAATTGGAAATGCTCTAACAGGTTAATAGTTGCTAGTTTGCAGGGTCTTGTATCATTAGACACAATCAGAAGTCAAGTGGAGCATTAATAAGCCACCAGTCTGCAAGGCTTTAAATGATCAGATTTACTTACTAGTAAGTCAGACTCACTGAAATGACAATGGACTCATCATTGTATCATTCAGTCTTTAGTTACTGTGATCTGTGGGATCTCTTTTAATTCTGCTTTTATTGGCTTTAGGGTTTGGCTTACATCCCAGTAAAACAATATGAAGATAGATTGTAGATTTATAGGTACCGAAGGTAGAATACGAAAATCATTACAATACAAGGTATTTAATATTTTACAATTTACGTAATAATGACTCTTCTTCCTACTAAACATTTTTCTGAGGGCAAGAGGGGACTCGCATATGTCTTAGTTCTTTGCTGCTACTTATAATGTTCTATCTACTCTCTTTCACTTTCATTTCTAATATCCTGTGAAAAGGAAGGCAAGTTTGGTGCTCTAGCCTATAATCAACCAGGAATTACAGTTTTATTTCTTCTCAGTTACTTAATCATTTCTACTCAGAAAAATTTAACTCATTCTGCAGCAACTGAAAGTATGCTATGTGGGTGCTATTATAAAATTACTTTTCAAAGCAAAAGTGGTAGATTTCTCTTTCTTGTAAACTAAAGGGATGTACAGTTTCAACCTTTCTTGCTTTATGACTTCTTTTTTTTTTTTTTTTCAACCTGTGTCCGGTATCTTATGTTAGCTCTTTTCACTCATCTTGTTCCGCTTAGCCAGGTGCATTCTCCGGTAGGTACATTTGTTCTAGAACACATCTTAATCCTCTGTGGAGCTATTAAAACCCACCTTGGATTCAACCTCTAAATTCCCTTAGATGTCAGCCCTTATTGCACTCCTCCCAACTGTGGCCAGGTAAGCCCCTGGCTCTGATTGCTCCCGACTGCTCAGCATTGTTCTGCATCCACATAATGGCATTATGGTCTAGCCACGATGGTTTTTTCCCCTTCTCTCCTACAGAATAATCTTATCACTGCCTCAGGGACTTGGCATTCTCCCTTCCCTTTGTATGACAATTTCAGATCTCACGGCAGACTACTTTTCAATATTCAGGTTTCGGTTCAATTGTCCCCTTCCCAGAGGAGGCTTTATTGACCATACACAATCTCACAATAACTACATTTTATTTTCATTACAGCTTTACTCGCCACTGGAACCTAATGAATTGTTTATAAGTTTATCTTCTAACCCTACCACTAGATTAAAAACCCAATGAGGGCATGATCTTTCTCTCTCTTATTATTTTATACTTAGAACCTAAAACAGTGCCTGGCACATAAAAGACACTAAATAATCTTTTGTTAAATGAAAAAAGGAATCGTTTAATTTTAACCTGTTGTGTCAGGAAACAGAATGCTGGATTAGACATATATAGATATGAGTACAGTATTTCATAAATTGCCATGCACTCAAGTGCTCTAGGACTTTGTTACTGTGTATCCAGTGGGCAGGCAGCATATGCACCAGCTGGAGTTTGCTAGAAATGCAGTCTCTCAGATCTCATCCACTAAATTATTATTTGCCTTTTATAAAGGTCCCCAGGTGATCTGCATGCACATAAAATCTGAGAAACATTGCTCTAGAATTTTTCTGCCTTTCTTCTCTTGTGTTTTGAATAGGACCAGACTGCTTCTTGAATGAGTAGCTACAGATTCATCTGGACTTTATACCAGACATCAATCGTTTCTCTGTGGGACTTCCCTTTAGACTTCCCTTTATACAGGGTATACTTGGATGAAAACATTCAATGAGCAGTTACTGATTGCCCATCTTTTGTCAAGCACTGTGCTATGAATATTGTATATATCACCTCAGGTAATTGTCACCATAACATTTTTTTTGAGGTATGACTGAAAGATAACATTAGTTTCAGGTGTACAACTTAATGCTTTGATATCTGCATACATTGTGAAATAATCATAATACATCCAACTAACATTTGTTCCATACAGAGTTACAATTTTTTTTGACCTATAGAGACTTTTAAAACTTACTGTCCTAGCAACTTTCAAATATATATTACAGAATAGTCAGCTATAGCCACCATGCCCTACCTTACATCCCCATGACTTGTTTATTTTATAACTGGAAATTTGTACCTTCTACAACTTTTTGACATAGGTACTAACATCTGATTTTTACTTTAAAGGAAACTGAAGCTCAACAAGTTGAAGTTTACTGTCTCAAAGAGCAGAAATTTAATTAAAGAAGCTAAGATTTGAACTGAGTTTTAACCAAATCCCAATCTATTTTTAATTGGCATGGTGGTAGGGAGAATGCGGGATGCCACGAAAGTTAATAATGGATGAGACTTCGTCTATGAAAAGTCCTGAAACTGGCACTCTAAATTGTTCCTTGGGACACAGTGAAGCATAGTGGCGGCGTATACTGTCTCAGATACAAAGACTAGGCATGTTGACGTATCCAAGGTTACATGTTTTTGCTTACAGCCATTGAAAAAATGGCAACGGTTCTATGAAAACATGAAATCGTTAAGATCTTTGAATTTGCTTTCAGCGGGTGCTTTAATCAACTCAATGCATTGACCACTAACTGGAATCCTTAGGAAGTGTGTGCTTTTAAGCTAAATGTCCAGGAGCACTCCAGGCATGAGTCATCAGGGAAACATTAGGAGAGAAAGAAAGGCTGGGTTTATGGCTATCACAGGTTAATTCCGTAATTTGTGATTTTCAACCACATTCTAGGAGTGCAACTCCTATCTTATTTTTAATATAAAAAGTGACCCTGGAAATAAAGTCTTTACCTAATGTGCTTCAGAAAATAATTTCATCCCTCTTCTTCACATTGAAAGTTGTTTTTGATTGATAAACATTATTTTAATTAGATAAGAACTGTTTTGCATGACATTATTTCAGAAAATGTATGATAGTAAGTTAAACATGTTCAAATCCAAATATCAGGTTAATTTATAGTCTTTCCATATAATGGAATGAAAATTTAGCTGCTGAATATTTTGGAAATTTCATTTTTCCATATCTATTACCCTACTGTTAGGATATTTTCAACTACCATATGTCCCCAATATAGAACCTTTTAAGACTTTGATTATCTGTATTTGCATCCAAATAAACCTGGGCTGATAAATCTAATTATCATTATACTGAATGATGTGGTTCTACAGCTCATTTAGCAACAGCTAATGCAACTTGTTTTTTTCTTTCTTTCTTTTTTTTTTTTTTCTTTAGTCTTTCTGAGGACAATTTCTTAGCTAGATCCTGGACATGATATCATAAACATTTAGAATCTACACTCTTGTCATTGTATATTAAATATACCATTTTTTTTGGCATACACGTTCCAACATAAAATTTTCAAAGGACTGCTTTATATTTATGACTTTTATTTTTCCCCCATAAAGCTCTAGGCATCTGAAGCAAACCTAAAAAATGTACATTTTACATGAAATATGTAACACAGAAAGAAACGAATGAAACCATTGTCTAAATATTACAACTTCTATCTTACTGTGAAGCCTTAACTAAAGCATATCTAGCTTAAACCTGTTTGTGACACTCCATATAAAAGGTTGAGAAATAAAATAAAAATGTTTGATTTATTTTTATGAACTCAAAACAAGATTTGAATTAGTTTAAGTTGATGTATTCTAATCTCTGTCTTCACATATACAATTTTAAGAATATGTTTTTAATAATTCATCATTTAATCAGTTTAA